CCAAGTGTTTAAACACTTCCCATGAATTACACGATAGTTTTGAGACACAGTCTGACCGCACATACGATCGCATAATTGGATGAGTCGTCCGTTTGAAGTGATTATCGATTATTTGGTTTTTGAATTGAATTTGCAATGAATTGTCTGCGAATGCATTGAATGTGCGGTTAGTGTCAATGTGTGGAGCAATCACTACAAAGCAACACAACAGCGACCAAATGGACGGCCACTCCGACGACCCGAAGCCAAAGCCAGAGGCCGGCAGACGTCCATCCATTGTACTCAACGACGATATGACCGACATATCGGGTGGGGAGCCGTCCGGAGGCAACGCCACCGGTTCCGGGCGGACACGTGTGGCCCTAAAGCCGGGCCATTCGCTCATGGATTGGCTCAAACTGTGCGCCAAATCGCCGGACCTGTCGGGCACTGGCGGTCAAGTGATGGCCGTCACTGTGGAGGAGCTGCAGAAACACAACACTCTGGACGACTGTTGGCTGTCGATCCGCGGGAAGGTGTATAACGTGACGCAATACCTGCACTTCCATCCGGGAGGCGTCGACGAGATGATGAGAGGGGCCGGCAGTGACGCCACCGACCTCTTCAACGAAATACACCGTTACGTCAACTACGAGTCGATGCTTAAGAAGTGTTTCGTGGGTCCGCTCGTCATTGAATGACCACTTTATGAGATACCAAATCGATGTTCACTTGTTTTTTATTATTAATATAATAGTAATCGTTATGTTTTACTATATTATACGTGATATTTGTTATTTGAATTGAATGTAAATATAGTCGTTATCATTGAAACTGTTGTCTAGTTTTATGGATGAATAGTAGAGTTATATTAATAATCAATACTTTAAATGTAAAGTAAAGTCCAATTCATATGAGAAGCCCTTTTTAAAGAGTTGCTGTTTTATAAAAACCATTATTAAACTAATGAATTAAAAAGCTGTGAAAATTAGTCTCAATTATTTAGTATTCATTGATCTGTGGCTTAGGATAACCTAATGTTTAACCATTGGTTTGAAATACAGCCCAAAACGGTGGTTAAAATCCTCGACGTGTACTGAATTACTGCTAATACTTTCAATAATAATAATTTATTTAATATAAAGTAGATTTCAACACATTTTTACAACAAATATTAAACATTTACTGAATTGTTAGAAAAAATACGCAAATAATTCGTTACTAATTATAATAATTATACATTTTTAGAAAAATAGAGATTAGTTTTAAGAGAAAAAATATTTAGAGAAAGTATGGCCTAATAATTACTGTTCATATATGGCAGGAGAAAAGGTTGGCCGGGAGGGCAGCCGTCAGTTATTGTTGTCTGTTTTGAAATGTGTTGGCAATGAAGCAATTGGCGGGAATGATGGGAACGCCAGTCGGAGTCACGTCCACGCGAAGAGGCGTTATGTTAGGCGGAAAAGTGCACACAAAGTACTGAGTGGTGGCGCCGTTGCTGTCGGTGATGTGCTCGATGTAACCGTAATACATGGGCGGATACGGGTGCTCCAGAGTCGGCTCGAACGGACTGAAGAATGTCATCGAACTCTTGTCTTTTTGGTTAAACATTGGTTTAGTTTAAAATTCATTTAAAATTACCGTCACTTGAGTTGTAATTACCGGTGGAAACGATGTTGTGATTGGCATTCTTTGGCACGAGTTCGTTGTGATCGGTGTTGAGTCCAGTGTTTGGCGCAACGCTTGGCTGCATTAGCATTGGATTGTAGGCAATGGGTATCGGATAGTAATTGTAATACATATCCTGATAGGGATAGACGGGAGCGCATGGGTTGATGGCGTACGGGTTGACCAAATTCACGTTTGGGGTGCAGTCATAGATGAGTGGAGCGTTGTTTTGGGGCTTTTGCGGCGACAGTTGTTTCGGCTTTTGGGGGCGTTTGTTGTAATCGTTGGACTCGTATTTGGCGTTAGTGTTGTACCGATCGTTGGCGTAAAACTTATTGGTGTTGATGTGGTTGCGAACGGAATCGTTGAAGCCATTCCTCTGGAACGTCCGGTGATACCTCTGGTATCGATTGTCATTCACACCACTCACTGTATACGACCGCCGGTCTCGAGTGAGAGGCACTTCCGCTTCCACTCCTTTGCTTCGGTACACCTTTTCTGTAAAAACTGGACAATTGATGACTACATTTGCAACAATTAGTGACTATTATATACCGGTATTGAAGGCGTTTTGCGGCGCACTCTTCACCTCTTCCGGCGGCTCTTTCTGGTCCTCCTCTTTGCGGACGTCCGCTGTCTTCAAATCCATTTGTTTCATGCCATCAGTCATGGCGTCCAGAGTGGCCGCAGCGGTGGTCGTTGTAGTCGTCGCCTCCTTTTCGGCCTTTTCAGTGGTCACCACTTCCTGTTGGGAACCGTTAGTGCCGTTCGAGTCGCTCACGAAAGGAGTGGTCGACTGACTATTCTTCGTGACCGCAATGCCGGGCATCTGTGCGGACGGTTGGGTAGCGTCGGCCACGCGTTTGGGCTCCACTTTGTTGCCATTCCGCGTGTCTTTGAAGTCTTTGTGTTGATATCTGTGAGCATTGGTCTCGTGGTTATAACGCATGCCATCGCCGGCACTGTTATGACCGCCGCCTCTATTATAACCGCCATTCCTGTCATTCTTGTGATAAGAGGTGCCGTCTCTGGCGTTGCGGTAATGTCTGCCCTCCGACTGTCCCGAAGACCGACTGTCCGGTCGATTGTCTTGGTTTGAGTACCGGTGATGACTGTTGTGTCTGCTATTCATCATCGCTTGTGGTTTCGGTCGTGTAAATCAACTCAAAGTGACTTTCAATGCAGAAAATGCTTTCAAAATAGGGATTAAATACTAAAACAAATAAAACGTAAAAATGATTTCTTAATTACGGATCAAATGAAAGGACAAGTGTTTTGTTGTGTGAGAAAGGAGTGAATGAATGCAATGAAAGCAATGAATGGCACAAATCGTATGCTTTATAGAGAGTATGCGATAATCACTACTCTATTCGCCACAAAAAGCTTACAGTTTTGGTTGCATTCAAACACTTGTCTATTACTGGACGGACTGACAGTTTGTCACACAAACAGTGCATTCAATACAATACATGTGAATCTCAATCCAATACCGCTTTCCCTACTCATAGTCTATGGCCTTTTCTCATTCATTTCACGTATAAAAACCTATGAATTGAAAATATTTTGTTTCAGTTATAATAATTGTTTTTTCAATGATTTCATTTCAATGCAGAGATTATTGCCGTTATATGCGATCAAATGGGATGAATGTGTGACAAATCAAAAGTGATAACAAGTTTTGCCTAATATTTCCTTTAGAAATGAATGAATGCATACAACTATTGACTCGTGTGTCAAGAATTTGTAAAGTTTTTGCAATTTTTTGCTACAATTTAAATGAGCATGGCTAATTTTTGAGACACCACTTATGTAATGCAGCTTTTATTAGCCAAATGTTGTATAATTAAAATAATTTCCAATTTTGTAATTAATTCACTAATTTTTTTATTGCATAACATTTAATAATTCACATAACGTTTTACATGCAAAACAAGTTTTCAAAAGAGAAATATTAATTCATTTTGTTTGAAACAATTATATTATTGGCTAACAATTAGAGTCATAACAGAAATATTGATTGATTTCAAATGGATATTAGTTTAAATATAATAATAAGATATAAATGTCATAATAAGGTGTTTGGGTCTCAACGGGTGAAACTGGGATTCGCTGAACTCCACGAGGATTTTCCGTTGATGTGTTTGTTAAAACTGCTGCCATCGTAAGTGGCGTCGTATTGCTTCCCCTTCAGGAACAGATACTTGTCTTCGGGTTCGGGCCGATGGGTAGCGTAACCCTCGGTGTAGAACCATTGGGCGACTTTGGCCGCCAATCGCAGAGACGTCTCGTTGATTTGGTCCAAATGTGGGTAAACGCGTCCCTCATCGCAGTCCTGTTTGGTCACCAAATCGGCCAACGCTTTGGCCGCCACTAAGAATACTTCGTCTCTGATCTCATTCACACCGCAGGCCATCACTGCGAGCGCCACTCCCGGGAAGATATAGGCGTTGTTTCCCTGTCCCGGATGAAAGGTCTTGCCGTTATGGGCCACCGGATCGAAGGGACTGCCGCTCGCGAACACACACTGACCGTCGGTGTGCTTATAGGCCTCCTCTGCGGTGCACTCGGCTTTGCTCGTGGGGTTTGACAGCGCGAACACAATCGGTCTCTTGTGATACGACGCGACCTTTTTGAGTATCGTTGGCGTGAAAGCGCCCGAAACTGCGGACACACCTAATAATCACCAAAAAACACATCAATGAATAAATGTTGATATAATTGTGGGCAATGAAAGTGCTGTCGGTATGGAAACAGAACAGACCTATAATACAAGAAGGTTTGACCAAATCGACAATCTCTTCGAGATTTTTGGTATCGGCCGCCTGTTTGGCGAATTGCATCTTATGTTTGTCGTTACGTCCCATACGACTCATAGTGACCAAACCCTGGGAGTCGAGTAACCAAATGCGATTCCTGGCGTCTTCGGTGGACAGACCCTCCTGTTCCATAGCCATCACCAATAGATCCGCTGTTCCCAACGCCGCCTGTGTTGTGGCAATTGTTGAATAAAATTAACAAATGTTCGCCAATTCAATGAATTTGGTTTCCATACCTCTCCGGCGCCCTGGAAGAGGAAAGTGTGCTGGGTGATTTTGGTGCCCGTTATCTTAAGGCTGGCCATAATGCCGGCGACGGCCACCGAAGCGGTCCCTTGAATGTCGTCATTGAAGACACAGTATCTGGTCTTATATCTCTCCAAAAGACGGAACGCGTTATTATTAGCGAAGTCCTCAAATTGGATGAGTGTCTGTCGGCCCCAACGCTTCACCACAGCCTCCATGAACTCATCGATCAGATGATTGTATTCACTGCCAGTCACTCGGCGTTGTTTTAATCCGATATAATACGGATCGTTAAGAAGGGCTTCGTTATTGGTTCCGACGTCTATACAGACAGGAAGTGTCAATTCCGGTGGTATTCCACCGATTGCTGAATACAAAGCCATCTTTCCAACAGGTATTCCCATTCCTTTCATTGCAAATAAAGTTTTACATTAAAAATTGCAAATAAATAACATCTAAATTTAGCCAACCGTTGGCTCCCAAGTCTCCCAATCCAAGGATGCGCTCGCCATCAGTCACCACAATAGCCTATTAGAAAACAAATGCATTATCCTATGATTTAGTCAACACATTTGTGGCCATAAGCTATGCTGTCATACCTTAACATCGGGTTCGGGCCAATTGGCCAGAATGGATGGCACGCGTCCGGCGTCGTGAACAGTGATGAATAGACCGCGCGGTCTCTTAAATAGCATCGAATACTTCTGACAGGCGGCGCCCACTCCAGGCGTGTACACAATGGGCATGAGTTCAGAGGTATAGAGTTGAAGAACTCGATAGAAGAGCCGCTTATTGTGGTCCTGAAGTTCACGTAAGAACATGTACTTCCCCAGATCGTCTTTCTGGAGCCGGATGTTAGTCATGGCCAGTTCCACCTGCATGTCCTGCGTTCGGATACACGGAGGCAACAGTCCCTTCAGATACAGGGCCTCCCTTTCCCGGGTAGTGAACGCCAAATCCTAATTAACATGCAATCAGTTCACCATAAGTTCAATAATAAAGCTATTAATTATATGTCATGTCAGAGAAGGTGGAGATCAATGAATTAATTGTTGTTTTCTTATGATTACAATACAATAAATTTCCAAAACAATATGTTTACCGCAAAAACAATTCTTATGACAATTAACAAAGCAGTAAGAAATTGTTGGATAAGCTATTTATTGGAATAGGTTTAGCGCATAATACACGAGAGCATTGGTAGCCCTGACCCAATCCCCTATTTTTTATGCCTGGATTACATGTCTTATTATAGTAGAGATTATTACTTTCATAACAATTTATTTATTAATAGTCAATTATTATTTATATATTAAAATCAAAGTCAAATATCAATATACTCTATGAGACGATACAATAAATTGTCACGAATTCACTATTACTGGCTGTCATTATACACTTCATAATGTATTCATGAGATAATTATTTATTTCCATCTAATTATAAGCAAAATAATATCTGTTGTGTACAATCATTGATCCATTGATTATCAGAGAGAGAGAGAGAGAGAGAGAGAGAGACAACGGGTCGACTTTTCGCAATTACAGCTACAATTGGATAATAGGTTTGAACAACAGGCGCATCGATAGCGCGACTTTGATTCAC